AGGGCACCGAGAGAGATCTGAAAATCAGAGGAAGAGGAGAGACGATGTGATGATCGATGTAGGATATGTATACAAGCGTTGTCACATTCGAGGTCACATTACATCTGGTGAGTGTGTTTGCGTGTTCTCACGGTGGGGAAGGAGGAACACGTGTGGCTCACGGATAAAATGATTACACTTACAAAGTGGAAGAAATTCTCCTTTTGTTTTTTCAACATTTGTTTTGCCAGATTGTTTATTTATATCCTTATTGGAGGATGTGATTGGATCTGTTTGCATAGGAAATGTCTTTCATTGGATCGGATCGGAAAGGTTTTGTAGAAATATTATTGTGATATATTTGTTTTCACTCTGGGTCTATTTATACAGAAAATGTAGATTTGTAGGTTGTACATATTTAGGCCATTCTCTCTTCTGTTCGAACATACTTAGGCTATAGTTTTGTGCTATTCTCTCTTCTGTTCGAACGTACTTAGGCTATAGTTTTGTGCTATTCCGTCTTCTGGTCGAATGTTCTTATGCCAATGTTTTAGGCAATTTTTCTTACGAGCGACTGTTCTTAGGGTGCAACTCAATTTTACAGGGTTATTCACAAAAGGGTGAAAGGTTTGGAGAAGGCAGGAGAAGTGAACAATCTAGGACAACATAGCTGAACTGGACAGTGAGCTGAATTGGAGAATGTTTCCAAATCAGCTATGTTGTCCTAGATTGTTTACTTCTCCTGCCTTCTCCAAACTCTTCACCCTTTTGTGAATAACACCCTATATGTCAGAAAATAACATTTTGAGTATTCCAAGCACCAGCGCGTGTAATGCACGGCATCCATTCTAGGCATGCGCAAGATGATTGGCGCATGTGCAGTACAATGCCCCCACAGTTTATTAAGGCTTTTTAATCGTTTTATTATGGCCTTTTCTAACTATATCGCATGCGCATTTAAAGAAGAACTACCCCCACGCTGCAAGAATTGGTTTGTGTCTAGGTGCTAAAATAACAAACATATAGTCACCCACAGCTCTGAGCCGGCCAGCTGTCACAGAGCTCTCTCCAGCCTATCTCCTCCTCCCTGCAGCATTGGAATCGTCCTCAGCGTCTTCACGTCTATACACAGTGTATAGATTTTGATGATTTACCGGGCCTTAGACTGCTGCAGAGGAGGGGGCAGAGACTTTGGAAGGACGGTCTAAGAAGAAGCTGGCTTGAAAATTCCGGTGAGTTTTTTTTTTTAACCTACACACAAACGGGCACTTAACGCTTGCAGTGCAGGATAGCCCCACTGCAAAGGTTCATTAAAACATTCCTGGAGTTCTTCTTTGAATATGCTGACAGCCATAAAGCTCAACACACACCTTACAATCTGCTTTAGATCTATCAACCACTCTGTAGTAATATGTCTTGCCTGATTGTATAGAATTAAATCAAATTAGGGAGGTCCTCATATGACATAGTCTTAGTAAATCCAAAGTTGATTGTACAAAGATAGTATGGTCAGATTGTAACTTGTATGGTGAACCTTAAGCTGGTTAAAATGTAGTGGGTGGCTTGTATACTGCCTTCCACCCGACATCCTTCGATTTAAAAAAATTGTTGGGTGGAAAAATTGACAGTTGAACAGCGCCTGCGTCCAATCAGATGGGGAGCCAACTATCAAAATACAATAGCTGCATCAATGATTAGACAGCGCGGATGGAGGAATTGGTTCAGTTTTTTTAATTCAGCTCTAAAGCTGAACAATAGAAATCTACGAATGTATACTCAGCTTCAGACCCAAAACGATGAGAAGATCACATTTTATATTCAGTAGGCCATATCTTTGGAGGTTTAAACACTGAAATGTACAATCCATAGCAAACCAATACAACCAGTGCATGAACATTAATACATATCAGGGAGAAATGGTAAATTCAGATCATGGTCATCCACAATCGTACACTCATACATTGTCTTACCGTGTCCTGATTGAAGGTTCCATGGTCACTTAGGTGGTTCAGTGAAGGAATGTTCTGATCACTGATGGATCTCTGGAAATATTGACGTCTCTCTCTGCGTAATAAATTGACCCCGAGCACACTTTCCCTCCAAGCTGGCTTCCTAACTAATGAATTCTCAGCTGATCCCACATCGCCAGTTTCTGATTGGCTTGGTGTTCTCTTGCTTTTCCACGACAACCCACTGGCATTTCCATAGAGTGTCAGCTCTGTGACTAAAACAGCCGCCCACATGAATGTGAAGGAGGTCATCTTCTTCTTCTTTACTATCTAAAACGCCCTCAAAATGTTCCTACTTGAGGGTCTACTGTCTTTTATCATCTCGCTCCCCTATTAAATAGGCTTCACCTCCTTGCCTGGCTCCTGTCTTACCTTTCATGTACCTGAGGACGTGCCCTTGAAGTGGAAACTTCCATCCCATGACATCACCTTTCCAAATGCACAATGTATACATCCCTAAACTTGTCTTTTTTTCCGATGTTCTACAAGGATGGAGGTGAGGTCTAATCCTCCCTTGCGGACACCAATTTGTGTTAGTCACCTCGTGTAGGATAAAGCAGACGGAGGGGATTCTTAGAGTCAGTTGATAACAATGCATCAAACTTGTGCAAATAAAGCGTGGGTGACAGCATGGTGGCAATTATCTGCTATTAGAAGAAAAATCTTATGTGTTCTGGATACTGTTGCTGGTAAATTTTCATACCTGACATTCTTTTGTGACTGGAGCAAGACAGGAGCTCAGCTGTCAATAGGATCCAGGCTCTTCAGGGTGAGCAGATGATTCCAGTTTTATAGTGGGGCCAATATGTTCTGCAGAGTGACCATACAATTAAAGGGCCACTTCACCTAAATATTGGTTTTGGATGGATGCTGGCTAAGTAACCCAATGGCCTCAACTCCAGATAAAGGAAATATTGTCTAAATACAAGAGGCATGGGTATTCTTACTTAAATCTTGGAGTGCTTTGTGCATTTCTTCCACATGGGTGCAGTAATCCAGTGTGAACCTTTACCTCTGTGCAGGAGCTTCCTGTAATAAAGACCGGTCACTGCTGCTCACTCTCTCTCTCTCTCTCTTTGTACAGGGTGACTGGTCTTGTCTCCGCTCCCTCCTTCTAAGCCCCTCACATAGCTCTGCTCAGGTTATGGGCAGCTAATCGATGATGATGCATACATAGAGGGCCAATTTAACGTTCCAGCATGTCATTGGGAGGAAACCATGCAAGCACAGGGAGTCTTACAGATAGTGTCCTTGCTGGGATTCAAACTAGAGACCCCCCAGTGCTGCAAGGCAGAAGTGCTAACCACTATACCACTGTGCTGTGCCCATTTATGTTGTAATATCTGGGTTTACAAAAGCCTTTGGTGCGCACAAAGTAGATATATATTGTTTGTGGCTATTGAATAATATATTTAAATGGCTTTTTTTGGTGGCAAAATATCTATGGCTATGACACCAGGGGTGCCCACATTCTGCAGGCATTGTGAATGTGTATAAATAGCCTTGTGGACATTTAAAGGGTCAGTCCACGTTAAACTGATACAGTATTTCAGTGCTTGGTAGATGCTGGAGCGTTAAACCCCCTGACATAATCTTTTATCTCTTGGGGAATCTGATGGTAAGACCTCTGTACTGAGTTCCCAGGTCTGCACATCTGCTGTCCCCATTATAAGGGGCTTCCACCACCCCTGCTGGACTTTATATTTATATTATGGAGATTGTAACAGGAAGAGCTGAAAACACACAAAGGTGGACGGGGACACCAAAAACTCCCGTATGAAGCAGAGTCTGCTAGACCGGCCCCCGCAACCTCATCTCCTGTTCACTCCGGTGGTCACAGAAATAAACAGGAATTCTGTGATGTATAAAAAATATTTTTTATTAACACATTGTAACAATTATATTATGTAACTCACATTGAAATGTTACCAGACAATCAACAACATTTGCATTATTTAAAGGAAAAAATATACTTTATATGTACAACGTCATTTTTAAAAAAAGCTGTAATTGTGTTTTCTAAAAAAACACTGCAATTTTAAATACAAATTAGATATTTTTTTCCCATGTGGTTTTAGAAATATAATCTTCATCAATTGAAACGTTCTGATTAATCAAGTCTGTGCTGTTTGGATATTGCAGCGCCATCTGGTGGGACGTATGATGACAGCGGGCTCTATTACTGTATTTACAAATTCTATTAGCTGAATGACTTCCAGGGTTATTCACAAAAGGGTGAAGAGTTTGGAGAAGGCCGGAGAAGTGAACAATCTAGGACAACATAGCGGATGTGGAAAAAGTCTCCAATTCCGCTCACTTTCCAGATCAGCTATGTTGTCCTAGATTGTTTACTTCTCCGGCCTTCTCCAAACTCTTCACCCTTTTGTGAATAGCCCGGTAACCTTGTTATTTTCTTCATCCAGAAATGCCCCTTTTTAGGCTCAAAGTATAATTAAAGCCAAAATCTTTTTATAGTGCTGGATAGGGTACGGAATGGGCACCAGGACAGACAGAGAAAGGGAATCTCGCTAGTCGGGGCACAAACAGCAAAAGAAAAAACACCTAACAGAGGGTACAACCATTCCAAACCATCTAAAACTAAAAAGAAACTCCAGTAAGATATTAGAGACACAAACTATTGCAGCTTGGTAATAATAAATACATCATTAAAAGTATGTTTTAAAAGCAAGCAGTGTAAGTACGTTTATGTGACCTGATAGCAACCGCTTGCATTCCCTGAAAAAAGTGGTGTGGGGAAATCTATGTAATTGAAGGTAAATAGTGCAGATTGTTTTGAGATGACTGTCAAAGGGAGTCAGACTTCATTCTGCAAAGTAATTAAAATGACATCCAGGCAAAGTAGCTAATACATAAAATTCTATTTTTTTTGTCTGAGGCTTTCCTGGAATTTACCATTATCATTAGTAAGAAGGAGCTCTGGGAGAAAAAAAAAAATCACAAACACAAATACTGTCTCCCATCGAAAGGGCCCGAGAGCTGTAAGGCAAAAAGGGTGAGAAAATGAGCCACCCTGACAAAGTTCATTTTACCCAATCACTGGTTCCACCCTGATGCCTGTTAATGGCTGGTCCTAAGGAAGGACTTCCCATTGGTCGGATGGATGGTCCAGACACGGGGTTCAGGCCACGTCTCCTCTGCTACCTTCCGCACGCTGACACTGGTGGAAGAGATGATCTGTGAGATGGGCCCACGGGATCGGAGGGACAAGCGGGCTGCCAGGAGTCCCATTCGGACACAAGTGTCAGTGTCCAGTTTCTCTAGCACCCCAGACAGAAGACCAGACATAAGGCTGCCAAGACAGAAGAAGATGATGAATGAGTATTATCACAGGACATACTGAATTATGGCTGAATCACAAACACATGCACACAGGAAAAATGGATAGATGGTTTCATGTTTCCCGAACTGTCAAGAGTCTCCTGACTTCTCTCAACATTCCCTACACACCTTTCCCTCCAGTTCTATCTTACTGAACTTAGCCACAAACCCCAGAGGTGACCAGAAGAGAGAAGCATACTAATAATCAATAAGAGGGAAGCACACTAATAAATCAACAAGAGGGAAGCATACTAATAATCAATAAGTAGGAAGCATACTAATAATCAATAAGAGGGAAGCATACTAATAATCAATAAGTAGGAAGCATACTAATAATCAATAAGTAGGAAGCATACTAATAATCAATAAGTAGGAAGCATACTAATAATCAATAAGAGGGAAGCATACTAATAATCAATAAGAGGGAAGTATACAAGTAATCAATAAGAGGGAAGCATACTAATGATAAGAGGGAAGCATACTAATAATAAGAGGGAAGCATACTAATAACAAGAGGGAAGTATACAAGTAATCAATAAGAGGGAAGCATACAAGTAATCAATAAGAGGGAAGCATACTATAATACGAGGGAGGTATACTAATAATAAGAGGGAAGCATACTAATAATAAGAGGGAAGTATACTAATAATAAGAGAGAAGTATACAAGTAATCAATAAGAGGGAAGCATACTGTAATAAGAGGGAAGCATACTATAAAAAGAGGGAAGCATACTAATAATCAATAAGAGGGAAGCATACTAATATACAATAAGAGGGAAGCATACTAATAATCAATAAGAGGGAAGTATACAAGTAATCAATAAGAGGGAAGCATACTAATAATAAGATAATAAGAGGGAAGCATACCAATAATAAGAGGGAAGCATGCTAATAATAAGAGGGAAGTATACTAATAATAAGAGTGAAGTACACAAGTAATCAATAAGAGGGAAGCATACTATAATAAGAGGGAAGCATACTAATAATAAGAGGGAAGCATGCAAGTAATCAATAAGAGGGAAGCACACAAGTAATCAATAAGAGGGAAGCATACTAATAATAAGAGGGAAGTATACAAGTAATCAATAAGAGGGAAGCATACAAGTGATCAATAAGAGGGAAGCATACTAATAATAAGAGGTAAGTATACAAGTAATCAATAAGAGGGAAGCATACAAGTGATCAATAAGTGATCACAATTCATACGTTTTCAGGTCTGAGCCCCCCTCTAACCCAGCTGTCCCAGGCACCAGGCAGTCAATATAATCCCACCAATCCCTGTTGTATGTTCTATGGGATATATTAGTATTATATAGAAAGTGATAATAGTATAAAGCAGACCTGTCTCCAGCTCCTGAGACATTCACAATTTCTTCATTAGAGATGGGGGCTGCAGGATAATGGACGGCACACAGATCTCCCCGTGAAGTCTAAAGGGGGAGAAAACCAACATGTACATAGAAGGTTATAATCCTACATAGTGGATGGGTTTGGGTACATTCACATGTCAGGATTGGACCACATTATTACACGTGTCCCATCACACTCCTGACCGGTAGGTCCCAATGTTCGTGTCGGGTGCTGCAGTGACAAGCAGATGGCGCCGCAATCATAAGCAATATAGAGAAGAGTCACTGGCACACCTACTGTGACATAACTTCATCCTTTATAGACGCAAGTCAAACATATCACAAAGCAAACAACTTTTCGGGGGCCGCACAGGGTCCCTTCATCAAGCAAACAATGTAAGGATTTGACCACATTACACCTGCATTCCCAAAATGGTGCAAAATAATGTCGGCATGTTCATATCAAGAGTTTAAGCCTAGCACTGTAAATCCTTCTTAAAACAGAAAGTATTATTCACATGTCTCATTCCAACACATTTCCTATAAATAAAGGATTATCCCTAATTTCAGGACAGTGGGCGGAGCCATGCAAATCATTCCTATATGCCCCAACCACCAGGTGCACATCCAAAACTGCTAATCCTCCTTTGCAGGACAGTGACTATAAGACAAGTGTGCACATAGATAATAGAGCAGGAGGAGATAAAGTGGATATCCATAGAAAATGGTGAAACTTTCAAAGTGGCAGTGCCGGTAAATGTATCCAAAATATATCCAAAAATATAAATTCAGCCTTTGTTACTACAACCTAGATTTTCAGTTGGAGAATAGGAAATCTAGATGTTTTTGTAGAAGTTGCCTGAATGATTGAACGTGCAGGATGAGTTTATGGGCGAATGCTGTCCGCACGGCATTACCACCACCGGATGTCGCAGAGGAACATATGGAATTCCGGTGCTCCATAGTGCCATCTAGTGGCGGTAAAGCAGTGTGAACGGTATTGGCCTCGCTTTAACCTGGGTGGAAGGTATATACATCAGCCCCTTTAAGTGTAGCCCACAGAGCCGAAAAGACTGAAGTAATCAGTTGACTTGTCTTGGATTTGGACCCACCTTGTCTTTAGGATGGAGAGACAATAGCCCGTGACAGCTGTGACCACACAGAAGGACCCCATGAGCTCCCAGGGTTACAATGACGCAGTACAGGTTCTCCAGAAGGGGCAATGACAGGGTGATTGCCATGTCTATGACATCATCCAATTCGCGTGGAACATCTGAGACAAGGAAACAACAACGGAGATATTCAATGCCGCCCTGCAATGGAAAGCAGCCCTGAACAGGGTAATAATGAGAACATCCAGTCTGATGAGACGAGAATTGAGGGCTGTCTGTCATTACATCTGTATTTCTATTCATACAGAATCCTTTTATGAATAGTGAAGTGCTGACAGACGATGGGAATAGAGATATCACTCTGTCAGTCATCTGAAAGGTCAGTATGATTACACATAGATAACTCGGGAGGTGAGAGACATTTTCCCTTCATACAATCACCGCCGTGAAAGGCATTTTTTAATTTGAAGATTTATCTTTTAAAGAGACCCTGTCATCAGACCACTCACTTCAACAAAAATCTTCCCGTAAGATTATATGTGCATAAAACAGATTATATTTACAAGGGATGCACCGATACCGATACTAGTATTGGGGCCGAAGTATTTGGCCAAGGAATCGTACTCGCCCAAATACTCCGAAGCCTAGCCCGATACTTGGGCTTCCGGTAATAGGAAGCTTCCTGATTGGCCGAGAAACCGTCTCCATGCTCCCTCATCACTTGTGACGAGGGAGCATGGGTTTCGGCCAATCAGGAAGCTGGGCAGCGTGTCATTACACTCCCCTGGCTTTCTGATTGGCCAGAAACCCGGCTTCATGCTTCCTCGTCACCTGGTGGTGACGAGGGTGCATGGAGACAGCTTCCCTGCTGATCGGGAAGCCGGGTAGCGAGTTATTACACGCCGCCTGGCTTCCTTAAAAGGAGAACTATGAGATGAGTGATTTCCACTCACCTCATAGTTCTAGCCGACCTGTGACAATGAGACTGTCACAGGTCGGCTCAGTAGATTGGGAGGTGAGCGAACAAATACCGGGTTCGCTCACCTCTTGATCCTGTCACGGCTCTCTGCCGTGACACGGGTTCGCTCACCTCTTGATCCTGTCACGGCTCTCTGCCGTGACAGGGGGAGGGGCTGGATTCCCCTCTCCCCGCTCCGATCTGCCAGCGCTGACTGGCGGAACGGACGGGGGAGGGGGCGGGGACAGCTGGCTCTGCCTCTAGATAGGCAGAGCCAGCTGTCACTTACGCAGCTAGGCGGATCTTGACATCGATGTCGGAATCCGCTCCGGCTGCGGCGTCCCAGTATAACGCGAGCTGTAGCTCGCGGTATACTGAGCTTAGGGTGACGGGAGGACGCTAGTTTGTGTCCTCCCGTTACCCTAAGGAGAACTATGGGGAAAAACACTGACCCCATAGTTCTCCTTTATTTGTCAGTATACATATAGAGTAGTTCTGTCTCATTTCGGGATGAATCAGTCTTAGGTGTGGCAATGGTATTTGTGAATTTACCGAAGTCCACCGAATAGCCCAATGTTCTGTTGATGGAAATGAGCTCCTTAACGTTCGGTGAGATGTAGGTTAAGGCCGTCCAGCTGTCAGATGTGAAGGGTTTAGAAGCTTTGTCTATATCTGTAGGTTCATAGCAAACTGCCAAAGAAATAAGGAGAATAAATGAAACAGCTGAATACAGAAATGAAATACATATACAGTATAAGAGTTTTATTACCTGCCAAAGGATTTTTATTTCTGTCCATCCAGGTAATTAGATTTATTCAGCTCTGCCACACAGCACAGCCCTATGTAGCAGGTGAAGGGACCTGGTCTTTCACTGCTGCAGTTTCACTTTTACTTACAAGTTCCCTCCCAACCCTGTGACTGGACAGTGAAAGGAGAAGCAGCGCATCTCTCTCTCTCACTCAGCTCTCTCCTCCTATCAGTATGGTTCCTTGCACTGTAGCACATTGTTCCTGTGGTTGGCCCAGAATCCGCACATTGTTCCTGTGGTTGGCCCAGGATCTGCACATGTGCAGGGGCGGAAGGGGGCGCGGCGGTGCATTGAAGTCAATAGCACATCCCGGCCACAGTGTGATCGCCCGCTCCTGAACGCGTGGCACATCAATGGCAGCGTTCCGGTCCTCTGTGGTCAGAAAAAAATAGTGCATGCAGCATTTTTTCTAACCGCACCGGACCGGAATGCAGGCATTGATGTGCCACACGTTCAGTTGCAGGCGATCGCACTGCGGCCAGGGGGCGTGGCTGCCACGCCACTGACTTCAATGCACCGCCACGCTCCCTTCCGCCCTTTAACGCAGGGAGCTGGCTGGGATGCGATCCAGTGCGTTCCAGCACCAAATCGGGCCCGCATACACTGTTTGTGGTGTGAACTAGCCCCTATGGAAAAGGACAGGTTCAATTTAAAAATGGAATAAAGTGGTACAAAGCAGCAATGGCTGATGGCATTAGGCTGAAGCTAACACAATATGTTGTTGGCTCACTGACCTGGCACTCTGTTCTCCCGTGTAATCTCACACACATACTGGATAGTGGACACAGGTACATTCCCGTCTATGCACACCAGGCGCGACTGACGTAAACTATCTGCAAACTGAGATATCTGGCAAAGGAGAGAAGGAATTATGGCTTGGTTAGTCATTCCGGGCAACAAGAAAAATAAGTGAACAGTTAGAGGCAAGCTCCATCCAAAACCTTTTATTTTCTTCTGGATAGTGCATATGTCAAGGATGTATTAATGTCTGTGCCCATGTTGGGGAGATTTCCTTCACTTGCAGTGAGAACAGGAAGCTGATTAGAAATCTCTCAAATGGGGACACAGAGAAAAACAAACACACTTTGCTAGTAGAATGAGGATGGAACATCCAGGAATACTTTTATTGTTGTCTGTGCCTTTCAAATCTGAAACTGAGAAAAAGAATTTGGCTAAAGTTTGGCCTCTTTCAGATGTGCGTTCTGATCGGGTCTGCCTGTCAGTTTTGTAGGCAGATCTGATCGGGAGCCCAGTGTTACTCTATGGGCAGCCAGATGTAAACAGACATGCATCCGTTCACATCCGGATTCCGTCTAGCTCCGGAAAAAAAAGAATAAGTTCTGGTGGACCCTGATTGTGACAGAACAAACACACATCAATAATAAAATGTTTAAACTGACCCTCACAACACAAATAGAGAACACTTATGATCTAGTCTTACTATACCTAATATTGACCCAGGTATGTGCAACCCCTATTTATGCCCCCCCACTGCCAAACCAATAGCTGGACTGAGAGTTTCTGTTGTTATTACCTTTTTTGCTATTGTTTAATTCTTTCACTATGTTACAAAGTTACCTATACCAGTGGTTCTCAACCTGTGTAACCTCAAGACCCACATTTGTCCTTGGCCATTAAGGGGTGACCCAAGTCGCACTGCAATGTAACGCACGGCATTGCAGTACCGTGCGTTCCGGTGCGGGCGATTGAACTGTGGGCGGGAGGTGTGTTTGGGGTGCCATTATGAGAACTGGAGTGGATCCTCAGCCGGGGGTCCAGTGCTGGGCTGCTGTGCTGTAAAGGAGCTCCATCCATTCATACATGCATTGCTTGTACAACTCCCATGCGCGCCCTGTAGAGGTGCCGGGAGCTAGAATGTGACGTCACTCCGATCCAGGCACCTCTACAGGGCACGTGAGGGAGCTGTAAGCAATGCATGTATGGATGGAGCGCCCTCATGGCCTTAGCTCCAGGCCATGTCAAGCTGACACTCAACGCCAGGCAGCATATTCTAGGGGGAGGCTGAGGAAGCTCTCACCTAGAAAAGTGGAAGTCACACCGCGACCCACTGAACACGGGGTCGCCACCCACTTTTGGGTCACGGCCCACCAGTTGAGAACCAAGGACCTATACCATATCTCAATGAAAGAACTATAGTTACCGAACATGAAATTTATAACAGGCTTGTCTCTATAAATACCAAAGCCTACAGAGAAACCTGACAATACCCCAACCCATATGCATTAGCTTCCTCTTTTGATTCTACTGACCCATCTCGACCCATTGTTATTGCTGTAGTGGTACCAAAGCCGTTCTGCTTAGAATTATTTACTTATTTATTGTATCTTATACAGAAACCTTGTGACCTGACAGTCTGTACTGATCGTTGTATAGAAACCTGTATGTTGTATGTTGTATAGAAACCTGTATGTTGTAACCTCTCTTTTGGAATACACACACACAAATGTAATGTATGGAAATCTGATCTCTTTTACACGTATATCTAAATTAACTTTGAAAACATATACAGTATTCTGTTAAAGAAAACAGAAACGAAGAATATTTAAATCCTAACACTAGGCAGCAGCTAAATACACAGATAAGCTACAAACATGGAAGCTGTTTTACGTGCCAAAGGATTTGTATTTCTATCCATCCAGTCCTGAGATTTACACAGCAATTAAGGGAACACACAGCATAGCCTTGTCTGGCAGGGCAGAAGATGTGATTTTGATCTCCTGCAGGTCTTGACCCCCCCACACCCTGTGAGTGAACAGTAAAATGAGAAGTAGCAGACGGATGAGCTCATCCCTCTGACTCTTTGCTCTCTCTTTCTATCAGCATCCTCTTTGCACTGGAGCACAACTGACTGGCTTCTTGTGCTGTTTCTCTTTCTCTCGGTCTGAGCTCTGCTGTACAGTGATTGCAAGAGGCTGATACCATGCCAAATTGTACTACTTGCATTTAAAAAATACAGTTAGGGGCTATTCACATTTGTCCATTTTGCTGCATGAAAATGCACGTCAATTAAAAATCCCATTGTTCCCTGTGTGGATGGCTGAGCTGAAGTTTAATGTGAAAGACAAAAGGGAAACTCTATGGGCCCATTCACATCTACATGTGTGTCTTACCATGCACAGATCATGCTGCATATGTAACAATGTAATTGATCAATGTTATTAATGAACACAGAGCTGCATTCATGTGTTCATTTTACATTTTACATCTGTCTGGAGTTCAGTTTTAAAAGCAGATTGTCTGAGCTCAGGTAAAAACGCCAGGAAGAGCACAATAGCATCTCTCGTCCCTGAGTGGCAGAGGAACATCAGCCTGATTCACACAATACCTTAATCCGGGATTTCATCTTCTCTGATCTCCTGACCTGCTGTGATCTCTCACCTCACTCTTTCCATGTTTCGTGTCTCACTTACAATCCCCCTCCAATCTCCCTGTCATCAAAGGGCTCAGCAGTCTGAGCAACATGTGTCATGTGTCATGCTGTCTGCATTCTCCGGAACCCACAAACAGCTTAATCTTTCCAAATCTAATAAGGTTCTCTTCTAATCTCCCTCTGACAATATCTGACAGTGCTATATAGTGAACTGACTCTCCACGTCACATATTGTGTTCCTGGTTTATCTGTAGGATCAAAGGGACACAATCTTTATTTTATTATTTTTTTGTTTATTTTGCTCAGTTTATTTTTTTAATCTTATTTAAAGTTTCTGTCAGCAAGTGTGTGAGCAAAATAATAATAAAAAATGACTACATCTCTGCAATACATGCACATTTTTTTATGTTATACCTTCAGAAACCATACAGAATAATACCTGTAGATGTCCCAGTAATTCAATGAGCACCAAACTTCCTGTTTGATCTGACAACACGGTGTCTTTTCCACTCTCAAGTCCCAAAGAGTGTTGGCAGCTTGCTGGACTACAGAACCTCTCCTACCATCAACTCTCTCTGTCCCTCTCCACAGCCAACATGCTTTATTTTCCAGCAAAACAATGCTACTGCCTTGACTCAGACTGTTGTAGAGAAAAGGCTCTTGGGAAATGTAGTTTTGGGGCATACCTACATGATATGGAATTGAGCTCTCAGCAGCTGCCCACATCACAAGAAGTAATAAAATCTGTTTCTTGCTACAGGAACCAGTGAATACATTTAAAAAAAATTATGTGGGGACAAGCTGTATAGAAGGAGAGGGAGGTTTGGGGGTAAATTTGAGTCATGGCTATACACATTACAAAAGTAATATGTATGTTGATCTATTCTGTGAAAGACAATAAGGGGAACATCTATTGGTCCTGAAAATATTGTCTTTCTTTCCATAAATATACCGTGTTTCCCCGAAAATAAGACACTGTCTTATATTTTTTTTTGCCCCAAAAAAACATACTAGGTCTTATTTTCAGGTGATGTCGTATTTTTTTTTTTATGTACAACAAAATTTACAACAATCCAAAGTTATGTTAGAAGTTAGTAACCGGCGCTATAGAGGAATATCGGCTAATGCGACTCTGCTCCCTCCGCCGCCGCAGCCTTGCTTTCTACAGCACTGGCCTCCTTTGCCATCAGGGACAGTGGTACCAGCGGTGCAGCAGTGAGGACATCAGACAGAGGGCAGCGCGGTAAAGTACAGTACCAATTACCGGTACACATTACAGTACCGTACCATTACATTAAACAGTGCCTTCAGGGGGACAGCAGTTGGTGAAGTTTGGTACTGGAGAGCTCCCTGTCACTGCACTGGCCAGAGGGAGTCTCCTGTCATCCCCTTAATACAGTATGCCCCTGCAGGCTGATACCATCTTTCCTGCTCTTCAAGTTCCCCCTCACATGCTACCAGCAAACTAGGTCTTATTTTCGGGGTAGGTCTTATATTACAGGAATCTTGAAAAATAGTGCTAGGTCTTACTTTCGGGGTAGGTCTTATTTTCGGGGAAACAGGGTAACATTATTGGAAGCATATTAATCTTATGCAGCCTTCTATTTAGCCAGCAGGTGACGTTCCAGTTTCCTTTCTACTTGTGACGTATTGTATCACTATTTACAGAACGGAATAAGTCATCAAAGCAGTGACTCCTACTTTAAAGATGGCTCAATGGGAGGTTTCATTCAAACAGAACCTCAAAGCCAGCTTCATCTGCTGCACATAAATCTCTTTATCTGACCCATAGTGCTATGGTTTTTGTATGTGTTAAAGGTTTATTAGTTAAAAAAAAAAGTTGTATATATAAAGCAACAGTATAAAAACGTTGTAGAAAAACAACTAATATAGGATTAACCCCAAAATCATAATATCTTCCCTTTAAAACCTCAGCAAAGGGGAGTGGGGTTGCTATCAACTAGGCATGATCTGTTTAGCTTCAGTAAGAATTGTATATGAAAGAAGCAGAGACAACATTCACATATATCCACATTAGATGTAAAATGGAAGATGACCGGCAATTCTTACGTGTTTCTCAGTAATCTGCTGATGGATCTCCATGTCACCCACTCCAAGGCTCAGATCCCCGCTGCCAGTAATGACAGCGCAGTAAGTGGCTGTACTGTGACCCTTCAGTTGTGCCACGCCTCGCATGTCCTGCAAAAGGAGGAGGAGTGTTGTAGTCCTTTTAAATGAACAGTAATACCACCTACCTTCAATCCAGAAGATTTGTAGAAGTGGACAGAGGTCCTTCACTAGAAAAACACTGCACTTAGCTAATCTTCATACAAATATTGACTTGTTGTTTCAGGGTATGGAGGAGCATGTGACCTCCTCCCAGCATGCACTGTTCTGGCCTGAACAGCCAATGCTCAGGCCCAAACCTGTCACATGAGGGAGTTTTGGCAGGAATTGGGCTTTCATTTTCAATTAGAAGGATGATAGCAATGAGGGAAAAATGAATGTCCACATAAGAAAAAAAAGGTCAATTATTATCATTATTATAATCCATAAATGAAGAAAATGCATGAGCAGTATGTGTGTTCATTATTTGAGTGAGCAAATCTTAGTTAACCATTGCAGTGCGCAGTACACACTCACCATGTGAGAGCAGTATTGTAGAACAGAGCGAGACAGGTCATCTTGCCCCATGGCAGAAATGAACAGAGGTCTCACTCCCAGCCGACTCAGGCAATCTGGAGAGAGAAGAGAATCCAGAGCAGAATCTGTAATGTCATCCAATTATCCAATTCTATTATCCAAAAACAATACACTAAAAGTTGCCAAATGTAAAATAAACCCAACAATTCTACTGTAAGCATGTAAATGGTACAGACATGATGTGTCTGGTACAAAGCATGGGAAAGATTTTTGCAATCTAAAAGAAGGGTGTTTTTTCCCAGTTTTGTACATTTTCTTGTTCCGTGACGCTAAAAAAAGTAACAAACAAAACCAATTAAAAAGTATTAATGGTTAAAAAAATAGGAATTAAAAAAGTTAGCCAAAAAAATAAATAAAAAGATAAAAGCTAATGGGTAGAAGAGGAAGAATACAATAATTTTGCCTGATGGTTAACGAAGGTTTTATTGGTGGTAAAAATAAAAACATATTATAAAAAAAAGAAAGAAAATGTTAACTTGTAAGTTTTCTTTATGTGATGTCATATGATCTACATATGATTGAAACATTGCTTAATTGTATTTACTCAATGCCTTTGCAGACTATCTGTGTCATACACAGGAGCGGCCACATTCTGACAACTGCTTCTACGTAATACAAAGCAATTCACAAAACTGTCATTTTTACAGCTGGTAATTGCTGGTAATAGCGCCGGGGGTGGGGGGCAGTTCCAGAGGGGGAAAAGCTGGACATAACAGAGGTTATACACATTTCCTTATCAATAACTAAAGAAGAAACTTTTTTACTTTAGATATACTTTAAAGCTATGTTTTCCTTTAAATAACAGCTGCACAATATGAGATATTTCCTTCTCCTGTTCCTCACCTGCTAGGTTCCTGCCCACACCGCCAAATGACTGGTGAACCTGTCCGGGATTGGTCTGTCCTCCAAACTGCAAGAATAACTCCCAATTATATTGATTGATACTTGAATTCAATACACACAGGAAACAATATGGTACAAAGGCGGACAAAGGCACAGGCAGGCATATTGAATGTTAAAATATATTTATCCTTACAAACCTATATCTAAATTAATGACAATGGCTTCCAGCAAAAACTTTTTACATTTTGATTTGGATAGGGAGGAGAAGAATAGAGTGTCTGACAGTGTGTGAGTTTTAAGAGTAAGATAAGGAGAGAGAGGGAGAGAGAGAGCGAGAGGTCAGAGGCCTGGTTCACACATGGGCATTTTACAGCGCGTTCCTACACGCTGTAAAACACTCAACATGTAAAAACCAATGATTGCCTATGGGCATGGTTCCCACCTGGGCGTTTTACAGCGCGTTGGAACGCGCTGTATAACGCCCTACGCCCAAAGAAATACAGGAGCTTCTTTGGGGCGTATTTGCCGTGCATATCCTTTGGGATACAGCCGGATAGCCCTCGGAAACGCGGTAAAAACGCGTGGCACGAAACACGCGGCAAACGCGCATTTCCGTACGCCTAGGTGTGAACCCAGCCTTAAGGGGGAAGATGAAAGAGCGAGAGAAAGCGAAATATAGAAGAGAGCAAGAGAAATCAGAGACAGAGAAAAGAGACATATGATTTTAAACTAAAATGAGTAAATGAAAAAGGGAGAGAAATAAGGAGTGAGATAGAGAAATATGAAAGTGGGATCAAAAAGAGGGAAAAGAGGTGAAAAATGTGGTTAGAGAGAAATTATAGAGATTAGAGAAAGTGATATAAGAGAGTGAAAGAGAGAGAAAAATAGAGAGGGATTAGATAAAGAAATGGATATTAGAGAGAGAGAAAAATCAGAGAAAGAAAAATAAGAAAGAGCTTAATTGTAAAGATATGAGAGAGTTTAGAGAGAAATGTTAGAGATTTTAAAGGGAAAGATATGATAGAGATTGGAGAGAGAGAGAGAGAGAGAGAGATTAGAGTAATATAGGAGAGAGAGAGCAAGATATAACAGAGAAGAAAGCAAGTGAGACGTCAGAGAGGGTGAAAAGAGAGATGAAAAACAGAGTATAGTCAGAGAGAAATGATAGAGATAGAGGAAGAGAGATTAGAGAGGAAGGAAGGAGGTCAGAGAAAGATTTATAAGAGAAAAAAAAGAGAAGGATTAGAGAAAGAGAGAGGGGGATATTAGAGCGACGAAGAGAGAGAGAAATAGAGAGCGAGACAGAAAAATATGAGAAAGAAGAGAAAAAGAAATGAAAATAGAGTGTGATTTGAAAGAAATGAGAGAGAGAGGGGGAGAGAGAGAGAGTTTAGAGAATAAGATATAAGAGAGATAGAGAAAAGAGGTAGATAGGTAAAAAGTCTTCTTTCAAAGCAGCCTTAAAGGGGTTACAAAGTGCCCCGTGGGGGGGTTACATTGTAATTGCTCATCAGCGTGACACTTATTAAATTCATGTTTTATAAGTTGTTTAAAAAATCAATTCCTCTTCCTGTTTAATAAATATAGTTTCCCTAGACCTCTCCCTCATGTTTCTCATCATTTTTAATAAGTGTCCTATTTTTACAGAGTATGGGAATTTTTTTTTATGGTTGTTTTCTTGAGAAAATCTGAACATGAAAGTATTCTTACAACAAATGCCAGCTTATATTTTTGGCATTGGGTTGCTGGCAGGAAATCCACTGTGCCCACCACTAAGTACTGGCAGATGAAGACTCCTTTAATTATTCAGTTTATGCAAACATAATATTTTAGTTGCACACTGGTGGGCACCCCATTGAGGATGGATGGATGGATGGAGTGGGGAAGAGATTACTCTGCCAGAGTCCCTTGACCGAATTAAACTTAACCCATTCAGGGCTTACATCCATACTCCCAAACACATCAACCCGCACAAACCCCCCTTCCTCCTCAACTAGGTCTGATACTTACTTTCCATTCACTCCCTCACTGCCCAATCTGCAAGTAACATACACTTGCAGTTAAAGTCTTTTTCCCCTTTTCTTTCTCAATACAGCTCCTGATACCTGAGCAGCCAATAGCCAGGCCCAAGCATTGTTATGTTGGGATGGAAAGAGGGTTCTAAGACCTGCATAACCTAGTCAGAGCTTACATAGGCCTGAGGACTCTCCAACCGCCCCTAGCTGGTGATTGGACGCTCTGGTAGCCCCCTTTTCTTGGATATCTGGAAGGTTTATAGGGTGGTGGAGAGAACAAGGAGGGCATGCATGAGCAGTTGTGTGGAGGGGAATAAGGTGAATCATTTACTTTTGAATGAACACAGCACAGGTTTACTTTAGAAAGCTAGTGATGATTCTATACTTGCATCTATCCATAAAAGTAAAATCAGCTTCGGGTGGACTGACCCTTCAATAACAGACAACTATAAAATCCACTTATTATAATTCTTTTTAGGTTGCAAATAATTTACACCTGCCGTTCCATGTCCTTGTTACTTTAGGATTGTTGTAGATGTAGAATATACAGTAACATATCCATACCTCCATTTTATCCTGAGATGCCTTTGCAATAAAGTCCACATTGATGCCACCAATTACCACCTGGAAAGGATTGAGGCAATATTACTACATCAACTTTGCAAAATCTTATAATGCTTACTATTTTCTAGGCTTTACTTTGATAGATTTTAATACACTTTCTAAAAAGTAGATGGCTTTTGTTGCATTTGATTCTTGTAGAACTTAAAGACGCCTCCCAAAATTAGTGACAAGTCCGCTTTTGTTTCATAAGATAAGAATACAGAGATGCCTCACCGGCTTGGAATCCTGGTTCTCATCGGTCTGTCTTTCCTGCTGGCGGGTGTCTTTCCTTATGCCCCCTTTGGGTTTTTGAATCTGGCTGAGGGCTGCGGCAATGCGACTTCCCACCTTGGCATTATTCTTTACGAGAGCAATATCTTTGCAGAGGATAAGGAAATAGATCTGCATATAACCGATGGCTCTTTTTCTGTGAGTTAGGATGTTTTATTTCAAGACAGTTCCTTTAGGAGCAGAAGATCTTCTCTTTAGAAAAACTAAAAGGGTCATTTGTGTGTGTGTCTAGGTTATCTTGCAATAATGTAAATAACATCAACATGCCTTATTCTGGTAAAACTTTGCTTTGAGCATGTATTTGAAAACTAAAGTTTATTCTGCTTGTATTTTGCCTTCCCTGGTTCACCCTCATCAACATGCTAATGAAATGTTTAAATAATACCATGTTTTCATTACATACCTTATTTTAGACACAGTGATCACTAAAGCCGGATATACACACTTCGAATTCGATGCATGGGTGGGTAGGTGTCTGATCAGTATCCCTCGATCAGCTGATTGAAGAAGCATGTCAGAAAATTGTCAGCCGAACAGAGCTGGTAGCCAATGAGCTTCCAGCTCTGTACAGGTACTCTGACAGCAGCCAGAGGTCGCTGTCAGAATACAAAGGGAACAGCAGGAGATTCCTCAATCAACGCTCCTAAGCATTGATGGAGGCTTCAGTCTCTGTTCAGCTCTATGCTATTCAAACAGATCATGGCTGGTGGAAGGGGTTGTACGTAGCTTTCTGAAAACATCACAGCACCCTGCCTCAGTACACCTCTAAAAAACCATCAGCCCTGATGCAAGCAGTGAGCTGGCTCTTCGGATGAGTTATGCAAATATTAAAAAACAAAAACAAAATGCCTTCATGGGCAGGTGTCATTCTGGAGGAGTGGGCATTCCTAGGCAGACTGTGTGCAAGCACACCGTCCTAGGTAAAGCCCACATGTGATGCTGAGTCTCCAAGAGTGAAAAAACTGAAATGTAATTATTGAAAGGGGCGCGTCAAGGACAGTAAAGTCAGGGGAAAAAGAGAACAAGAGGATGTTGAGCGTCCTGCAGCAAGGAAATGAGGCGGTCTCTATATGACTTGCTGCAGCTTCTAATGCATGACATGAAAAGCTCACAGTGTGCAGTGAAATCAGAGTAAGAAATTTCAGTCCAGGAGAGGAGCCAGTACAACTGTGCAAGACTAGAGATAAGGCTAGAGTCACCTTTAAATACATGCAACCATATCCACTCATTACACACACAGTGATTCCTGTGTAGCAGAGCAGCACTATGGAAGTGAACCGTAGATTTTGGCACTGGAATCTTTTAGTGTGAACAGATCGGTCTTCTACACAGTGGAGGAGAGGGGAGTATGCAATCAAGGGCTTACAGCCAAACTCCAGCTTTTTTTTTTAACAGTACCCCAGCAGTGGTTGAAATCAATGTAGCTCCGTTTTCAATACTCCCCTCCTCTCCAGCACATTCCCCCTCAGTAATTCCACTGGATGTTCTCAGTTTTCCTATAGCTGTGCAATCAGCAAAGCTCATGCTTCCTGCTGATTATAGAGCTCCAGATCTGACTTCATTTAAACTAAAAGTTCAATTACACTTTGAATCACACAGGGCTTGTGTGAGTTTTAGATATCACTTACACCGGAGCATTGCACTAATGCATTTAGTGCACGCTATCGAACAGCACTCCTATCATGTAGTACTATGTGCTAGGTGTGTTGCATTGCCATTAATTTGAATGGAACTCAACGCACCTCCCAGCGGCCATGCACTGCAACACAATGTACAGTACTGCTACAGCATGCTTTGGAGTGGGAAAAAGTAGAGCATGCATTTGTGGTGTCATTCACATGAATGGAAACACACCTAGTGCGTGGTACTACATGCTAGGTGCACTGTGAGATAGATTATCACTTAGGGCAATGCCTGGGTATGAATGGGCCCTTATGGTTACATGGAGGGGTTTAGATTGAGAGATTGAACTCAAGAGTCGGAAACTTCGAACTGAAAACTACGAATTCTCTCCTATCACAGCACATCCATAGTGAGAACAATAGTGACTCGCTAAAAATGGAAGCGTCACAGTGGAAACCCCTTCCAACTCAGGGTCTGCCCCATCAGCAACATAATACCATCACTGTAAATGATTTTTCTGTTTAAGATTGCAATATCTATTATATTGATAACTATTGGAGAGAGTACATTTAAATCCAGTTATGAAGCCATAATAATACAAATAGGACCTGCTATTAATGTGAAATCCCATGAAAATTATTATTAGGCAAATGGTAAATTATCTAAGCCAGCAAAGGATACTAGATTCCAGTGATCTTCCTCCAGTCAACTCATTCACTCTTTGTAGGACAAAAGGTGTCACATCTTTTCCACTGATGCCCTGCAGCCTAAACATTGTAATAGATAGATTTAAAAATGCATTATAAGTGGATCTCCAGCAAAGACATTTTAAACTCCCTGTCATGTTTTTTTAATGTCTGTGTCCAGTTGGGTATATTTTCATTTCTGTCATGTCTTGGAGAGACAACAGGGAGTGAGAGGAAATCACCCTCTGTCACTGGAACATGTGTCCCCGATGGAAGAGTTTCCATCACCTCCTGTTCCATTGACAAGCATAACGTTTTAGATCTCCCATCACTTTCTGTGTCGCCAACACAATAGGAGACGGTAAATCTACCCAGCGGGGACATTGACAGGTATTTCTAACCGACATTATTCTATCCAAATTTTTAAAAATTTGGACTAGCTATAGACAATACCGCCCACACTGATACTTCAGAAAGGATGTCAACAGACTGCCTTCTTGTAGTAGTATAGATCTCTGTATGTATGTTCCTAGCTCTGCCTACAATATGGGGAGTCGTATTCTATGTGCTAAATCCTCCTTTATTCAACCTGTTTGACAGTACATAAAATTCAGCAGAACAAGTGAAAGATCTGATCTGGAGTCAAAAAAAAAGTCAATGGCTATTTTACTCATCAGTATCAGTCTATGACCAAATTATCATTTTAGATATAGTGACATTTTAGGTAATAGAAAAAATAACTGGGTGACATTAACCTGGCTTCCTTCAGTGCTTGCTGAATGGCCTTCTCTATCATCTCTCCAGAGGCAGCATGCTCCGGAGGAATGGGAACAGCGATAAGGACTCCGCTGCCCAGTCTGAGCTCCAGGGAATGGGCTGTAGGTAGAAGGTATGGAGTAAATTCTCAGGTTATATGGCAGTATGCAGCATTAAGCAGGTAAATAGAGAAAATTGTTTCAATGTTCCCCAATATTTATTGCAGCCTGCAGAGATTTAACCCTCACTTCCTGTTCTTTCTGCTAAACATAAATTGACAAGAAGTGATGGGGAATCTCTTCAGCAAGAACAGAGACATCAATAAATACCTGACAAAGGTTTTAGTCCTTCCCTGCTCTATCTAAAGCTAACAGAAACATTTTGTCTGGCATTGACTTTAGTTATAGAAAAAAAAAAACTATGTGTACTATCATCTCTCCAAAGAAGTACATAATATGCCAATACTACAGGTGAAACTCAAATAATTAGAATATCGTGCAAAGTTCATTTATTTCACTAATGCAACTTAAAAGGTGAAACTAATATATGAGATAGACTCATTACATGCAAAGCAAGATAGTTCAAGCCGTGATTTGTCATAATTGCGATGATTATGGCTTACAGCTCATGAAAACCCCAAGAACCCCAAATCCACAACCTCAAAAAAGTAGATTATTACATGAAATCAATAAAACAAGGATTGTACATAGAACAATATCGGACCTCTGAAAAGTACAAGCATGCATATGTACTCAGTACTTGGTTTGGGCCCCTTTTGCAGCAATTACTTTTGCACGATATTCTAATTATTCGAGTTTCACCTGTATATAGAATCAGCTCTGACAGGAGGAAGCGAAGCCCTGCCTCTACCAAAACGGCCATCTCCACACACACAGTGCAGAAGGCATGGTAGGTCAGTAATGGGGAAAAGGGCCAGTTGCAGGTAGCCTATATACAATACTAGTGACTAGTCTTTTGTCCTCTGCATGCCTTTTTTGGTCACAGCATTCTTAAAGGAGGACAAAAATAAGAGTTCCTGGCCTCAGCCAGGTGGCTGGTTTGGCTTCCTAAAAAGAAAAAAAAAAATCATGCCATCCTTTTGTAACTGTTCTCACCATTTGTGGATTTCCCATTGCTATGGTGAGTGGTGATGAAGTTTGGGACATCCGGCTAAAGAGAAATATCTACCTCTGTTAGACACATTACCATTGAATCGTCACCAATAACCTGATGACAGCAGCAGTATCCTCTCATACAACAGAAGGAATGTGAACTTCTCCGAATGTATAGAAATGACTGGACTTACCAATAAGCCTTGCAGCTTCTTCTTCATTGCAGACATTACACGGAGCCCGGTAGCCACTGCGTGGGGTGAAAAAAGCTGGGAAGTCTCTGGAGTCTCCAAAAGTGGTAACACAGACCCCTTCTGTTTCCTGCCATTAAATTCAAAGAAGCAAAACTGAAATTCTGCACTTTATGAGGATCATCACACAGAGTGAGGCATTCTTGTACTACATGTTCATCCATCAAATTTACAAAAAGTGGACCAAAGGGTAGTGCCTGTATTGTTCACAAATTCAAAGCTGTGCTTCCTAAAAGGGTTATCTAAATCTAGGCACAATAGGAGGCATCTATGGAGTCTGCCACACGGCAAGAAAATATGCGTAAAGCCAAATTAAATCTTGTTTAGAGTGGATGGAAGAACCCGTTAGATTTTTTCCAAAATCTATCGGTGTATACCCAGCTTTAAAGAGAAGGAAAGCCAAACATTTGTTTTTGGCTTAATTTCTCTTTAAAAGGAGAACTGTGGGGTCAGTGTTTTTCCCCATAGTTCTCCTTAGGGTAATGGGAGGACACAAACTAGCGTCCTCCCGTTACCCTAAGCTCAGTATAGCTCGCGGTATACTGAGACGCCGCAGCCGGAGTGGATCCCGACATGGACGTCGAGATCCGCCCAGCTGCGTGAGTGACAGCTGGCTCTGCCTATCTAGAGGCAGAGCCAGCTGCACCCGCCCCCGTCCGTTCCGCCAGCCAGCGCTGGCAGATCGGAGCGGGGAGAGGGGAATCCAGCCCCTCCCCCTGTCACGGCAGAGAGCCGTGACAGGATCGAGAGGTGAGCGAACCCGGTATGTGCTCGCTCACCTCCCGATCTACTGAGCCGACCTGTGACAGTCTCATTGTCACAGGTCAGCTAGAACTATGAGGTGAGTGGAAATCACTCATCTCATAGTTCTCCTTTAAGTCACAAGAGTACATTTACTAATGTCCTCCAGTAAACCAAAGTCAGCATCTAGCAGGCTACTGCCTGCTATATGCCAACAGCGCAGAGCCGAGCTGCAGCCAGGGAGGATCCCAATAATATTGTCAGGATCCACCCGACTGTCTGATTGAAAGTTGGCTCTGCCTCTCTAGAGCCAGAGCTAGCTGTGCCCACCCATTCCACTGTCTGTCCCTTCATTGAGAGCACTAGAGCAACAAAGAGGGGAGGGAGGAATCACTGTGGTGAGCTAAGCGATCAGCGGTTCATGTTCACTCAGCTCTCAATCTATAGAGCCGGCATGTGACAGCTGCAGTGTCCCTTGCTGGCTCTAAGTATTAGGAAAAGTATATTTTACACTTCCAATACTTTTCCTTTAAGCCTCAAAAATTCACTTACCAGATATTCCAGGGTGCGGCCGATGTCCAGGATGGACTTTACCCCAGCAGATATCACGGCTACCGGAGTCCTCCCCAGTTCAGTCAAGTCCGCGCTGACATCCATGGCTAAAACAAACGGGGGATAACATTGCTGCTGAACTCCAGCAATGTAGGAAAAATACCTACCACCATCAAATCTATAATGTATTTTTAAACATAGCTACTATAAGTTCACGAATCTGCCTTTTTTTTAGCTTGCTATAAATGCCAGTGGTTTAAAAACGTTGAGATGCTGACAAGAATATCTATAAAGATGAGTGAAATAAAAGCTTTTTATTTTGTTTCCCTTTACTCCCTGTTGCCATGCCACAATTTTTTCAGCTTATAAAGGATTTAAATGGAAACTTGTGATGTCACTGAGAAAATTAATCAGGCAATAAAAAAAAGGCAATAAGCTATAAAACTGAAAAAAAAAAATGATGACTTCTGGAGGAAAGTTATTTGTCCGAGTTCATAACATAAAGTGGAGCAAACACTTTTATGAAAAGCCAAGTGTACTGGGCTATATTAGGGAATTTTAGGAGTGCATTATAAAGATCCCTTTTGGTGTCCATGTGTATGAAATCTAACATGAATGTAAAGAAAATATTTACTGTTCTCTCCATCACGGTGTACCCCTCCTATCCCGCCGGTCACAAATACGGAGATCCCTGCGTGATGGGCCGCTATCATTGTCCCAGACACTGTGCTCCCCCCGGAGAGGCCCTGGTAAAAGAAATGATGGAAATTTTGTATCTTTATGGAATATATATGTATACACCTTATCAAGAAGTTAACAAAAAAAACCCTACTTTTGAAGTATTCCTTGAAAAGTCATGATATAATTAATTAATTCAGCTGAATTGCCATACAGCAGCTGAAATTAGAAATCAAACTTTCAGTTGACGTGCCTACTTTCTAAGATGAAAGCCATATAGCACAGCAGGGGTGGGGCAGATTACCACAGTAAGGGGTCTATTTATAACCAATTCACAAAGCAATCGCCTTGTAAATGTTTCTGAATGTTAATTCTGTGTGAATAAAAATATAATGAATGTTCTTAGATATAATTTATTTTCAGGTCCAATGTTTGTAATGGTGTACTGCATTATGGCCACTAGATGGAGTGGCCAAAGCATATTTCTTCTGCTCCATCTAGTGTGCAAAATGCAGTAGTACATTACATACATTCAATATAAGAACTTTTGTTTTTGTGCCTATTTGCACAGAATGAACATTCAGAAACATTCACAAGGCGAATGGCTCTGTAAATTGATTATAAATGGATGCCTATGTGTATTACTTAACAATTCTTGTCAAAAGTAAAACTGCTTTTCTATGTCTGTTTTAGTTGTATATTTTTGCTCTAGTTTATTTCACTGAAATGACTGCTGCTGCACAGCAAATGTGACTTCAAACTGATCCTGCAAGAAATCTATGCTAGGCTTAAAGCGGACCTTTACCCATATCTTTAAAATAACAACAAACACACCTTTAGAAATGTTTAATAATGACAATCTACAGACACATACTTCTAGATAATTGCCGGCTTTGTATGCTTTGCATATCTTATTTCTCTTTTCTTCTCCAGTCTTCTGACAGTGGCCATGTTTACTAAGGGCAGGTTACTAGATCTCCTTTTACTTCCTGAAAATCTATCACATATGACTAGACATGTGACTAGGACATGTGACCATGCACATCATCTCAGGGGTGGAAAATGCCTTCCCCTGAGATCTCGTGAGATTACAGATGAGATTTCCCAGCAATGCTCCGCTGATGACAAGGCAATCCCAGTGTGCATTGCTTTGGCACACTGAAGTCATTTTACCCTTTCAAAGCAGGAAGTGAATGTTCTGCAATAGTAAGTATTTCACAATCACAGCATTGTACACCTGACATGTCTATGTTATTATTAATCATCATACATAGAGTGATGCATTGGTAGAATTTGATTTTTGAGTGTAAAGGTCAACTTTAGGCACTACCACATAATGGAGAAGTTGATGACACGGCTCCCTCTGACACCAGTTGATATTGGGTATACTGGTGGTGGCTGGAACAGATAGAGAGGTCAATATAAAGAGGTGAGGGAGTGGGCGTTGCACAGACTCTGTTACTTTGTCCTAAATGGGTGAGTATGTACATATTGTATATAATACAAATTATAAAAAGAAAAAATAGGATTTTTGTACTCACCGTAAAATCCTTTTCTCTCCGTTCATTGAAGGACACAGGGAACAGATCTAGGATCATGTACTGTAGGGTAATATCGCCACCTGCAGGAGAAGGACGCTAGGCACAAAACTAAAGACCAATTACAGCCTAGGGGCGGCCCCTGCTGGTGGCCAAACCCCCCACCTGCTGACAAGTCTCCAGTAAGTAACAAGCAGTTAAGAGTACACACCCACACAGAGGGGCGGGACCTGTGTCCTTCAATGAAATAAAAATTACCACACATTGATCAAGCTCATCTTATAACTTGTGAAGCTCCCCATACATATGACTGTGCAGCTGGCATACCTGGCTGAGGACATGTGGCAGGTCTCTGCGGGACACTTTTACACAGCCTTTGCTGGTCGCCAGGAACTTCAATTCCTCTTCACAGAGCCCGATATGAACTTTACCTTCTATAATGCCCACCGTTGCTGGTACTGACCCATTTGATTGAACAATTTCTTCCACTTCATTGGCCATTCTGTAAATTACATGGCAGATGAAGAGGGTGTATGAAACTAGGAATTCTGAAAACATCCATCAATATTAAACACATAAAGTGTGTGTCTGGGCAAGAAAAAAAAACATTTTCGTTACATCTATACATGCACATTTCCCCATGTTGTGTCTCTTTAAACATGCACAGAAAAATACTTCTTGATCTGTCAGAAATCCAGAGAGCTCCTAATTTCCAGATTTTTTCAGTCCATCTCCTTTGCTGGACTGAACTTCCAACCAGCGATGTCCCTTCTGCCTGCATTCTCTGTTGCTGAACCCAGACTCCCCCTTCTCATCTCCACAACATAGAGCGGAGGTGTTCTGTAGTCTGGAAGTCTAGAACTGGGCAAGGCTGATATCATTGCTTGGAATATCTGTACAGCAGAGCAGATTGTACAGGAAATTATCAGTTCACTAGATTTGCCATCAACAGTTATTTTTCTGTACTTGCAATTCTTTTAAAGGGATACACCATGAGGGATAGTGCATGTATTGCAAAGATGTACAAAATATATATTTTCTTATTTTTCCCAGACGTGAACTTTATAGTACGGCTGTCTTTACAGTCTTTACAAAGAAGTAAAGCACCCCATCTGAGATACACAAACATTGAAACTCCTTTTTGCTCATCCAAAGAGCACAATGCCAGTTCTGTTGGCTAGACAGTTTGCTGGCCCCAGCTAAGAGTGGGATGGTCTGCAGAGGCGCTAAACCCTTTTTGACTTCTGCAAGAAACCCACTCCTTCAGTGACATATTATAGAACCCTTGTCCCCAGCCTGTGACCTGGGGGCAGCATGTGGCCCTTTGGCACTCACTCAGCAGCCTCAGGGCCCCTGGAGACATTATTCTGTGTTTCCTTACCTAGAAGCTTACTCAGGCAGTTGAAGGAAAAATATTCTCTAGATTGGTTGTGAAGTAGTTAGAGCGGAACTCCAGGAAGTGCATTTTTTTCAAACATACATTGGTCCACTTTGGCTCAATGTAAGCATCCATATCTAATATCTGGAGGGCTGCAAGCTACATATAGTGATAGCCGTGATCTTCCGACTCCAGCTCCAAAAGGCTAACCCTCTGCACAATGAGCATGGGGAATCGCTCGCTCAACACCACCATCATTCAGAGAACACCTTTTCTACTTTCTTCAAGAAATGCGAGATGTTCTGAGATTGGAAGAGATGGAGATCATGGTGTCATCTGGCCGTCCTCTCCACCTCGTCCTGTGAGAGAATGCCTTGAATTCATTGAAATAAAATACAAGACAACTCTCTGAATGGCGGTGGTCCTGAACAAGTGACTCACTCAGGAAGCCACTGGAGTCGCACCCCCTAAGATCACGGCTATCACTGTATGAAGTGCAGACCACTACAGTGATTTTCAGGGTCCCTGGTGGCCCTCCGATTTCAAATATACTTACTTCCATTGAACCAAGCTGGGCCAATGCAACTTACTTCCTGGAATTCCACTTTAAATGGTTTGGTTCATTTCTCTCACACTATTTTACTTTTTTCTGTACTGTCCATTCCTTTTCAAGTTTTTTTTTTTTTTATTCCTCTGATCTTTTATAATTTATTTTGCTGAGAGAAATATCAAATGTGGCGTGAGTAATTTTAAGGGGCTGTAAAGAGCACAAATGTGGAAGCATCGGTTTGTAAAGTAGCAGTAATGGCCTTGATCCATAGCATGTAATCTCCTGTAATGTGTCTCCAGGATATGACTGTTACCTGAACTCTGTCCCCAGTCTCCAACAATTATAGCAAGCCTGCAATCTCTGACCTTCACCTAGAAGAATGTGTACAGTCTCTAATGGTTACAGACTGCCCACATTCTGTAGGAGATTGTCAGAGAATGTGTGCATAGCAGTCTTACATGAGACTGCTATGGATCACAGTCATTACTGCAACTTAGCATGCCTGTAGTCTTTGACCATCAACTCTAGTATGTCTCAGTCTCTAACCATCTTTTGTAGCATGCCTATGTCTTTGACCATCAACTCTAGTATGTCTGCAGTCTCTAACCATCTTTGGTGCTTACATTTTACCATACTGTGTCTGACACCAACCCGAACAACTTCAGCTATATTTGGCCATCTTGTTCTCAGTTTCATTGGCCGGGTTATCCACAAAATCCCATAGCTCCTTTTAGGGAAGTTACCCCCCTGGCTCTGTTAGAAGCCATACCCAATTCAGTTCCAAGAATCAATCAAAATACCTGATATTTTGTGGATAGGGCATTCCATGTGTAACAATAGTGCTCTCCAGGGCCACGACTGGCCTCCCCTCTGCCAGTGCTTCTTCCACACTGGGGTGAATCCTGAATGTAGAACCTGCATGTGCACCATGTAATTAATAATAATAAATATGAAGTCTTCTATTAGGAAAAACATCAGCCAATTTAAAGTTAGCCTGTGTATGTTGGAAGAAGGGTCACATAATAAAACAAACAACTTATCAGACACAAAAATTAATGAAAACAAAAACAAAGAATGGATTGCTTTGTTATTAGCTGTCGTAATTATATAGATCTCTCTTTTATGTGTTTAAAGTTCATGTATAGCAAGCATTCCTTGCTATACCCATGCCAGTTTGCTTGCTGCCTGTTAGGATCCAGAGCGCCTCCAGGTGGCGCAGGAGCTGAGACCTGCAGCTCCAGTGCTCACCTGCGGGTGTTTCCCAGCTGCCAGTACTTAGCCATCACCTGGTGCTTCCTGGGAGGATATTTAAACCCTCCCTGCAGTCAGGATGATGGCTCAGTATCGTTTCCTGTTTCCTGAAACTTGAACCCTGAGTCCCCAGTTCCGGTGAACCCTGCTTTCCAGAGTCCAGAGTCCTGTTACCAGTCCTGTACCCTGTTTGTGTCCCGAGCCCGGTTACCCATTTGCAGTCCTAGATACCTCTTGTTGCCATTACCTGCCTTTCCTCCTGTTGCCATTACCTGCTTGTCCTCTTGTTGCCATTACCTGCCTTTCCTCCTGTTGCCATTACCTGCTTGTCCTCCTGTTGCCATTACCTGCTTGTAGTCTGGTTGATATTACTTATTTATGTTTGCTTTTGAGTGTTGTTTAGTTGTGCTGTTTATTAAACTGTATATAATACATTCTGCCCTGTCCGGTGTGGTCATAAGTGTTTGGTCTGCCTGTGTGGGTACCTGCGCAGGTGTGGGGTCACCTGTGCCGGTATCCCTGACGCTGCCTGTGTCCCTCTGGAGAGATTTACCATCACTTCCTATCCCAGAGATGCAACAGGAAATTTAAAAAACTCTACTAAAAGTGAGGGAAATCCCATTCTTAAGCCGGGTACACAGGGTAATTATTTAGACTGTGTGGATGAGCGAATCTCCCTATGGGTACATTGTATTCTGACAGCAGCAATGGCCACTGTCAAAATACCCGAATAATGTTTGCAGCTGCTTGGATCATTCAGTCAACAATTTTCCCGCATGTCCCCTCAACAAAAGTCAATCTAATAATCGACCTCTGTCAAGGGGAAAGGACTACCAACTGATAAAATTTCATCCGATTCCTGATGAATCAGCCGAAATTCACTCCATGTGTACCCAGATTTAGACTGCTGTTACCAGAATGTCTCTATTGAATGATTTACCCTCTATCACTGTACTGGGGGCAACCCTATCATTTTGGATTTCCCATTCTCTTTCAGTGACAAGGGTCCCCGGGACAGATAGAGAGGGTGAAGCTCCCACAGACAGCAATAAAAAGGGTTGGAATCCTTCCCCGCTCCATACAAAATAAAATAAACTTGGCAATATATTCAGCCAGTGTTCATCCATGTCCTTACGCATACCCATGGGGGTCATGGCAAACCTATCAGGATTGGGTTTTTCTATATCGAAATCCTACGGTTTTCATGACTGACAGAAGATATCAGAGGCTCCATATGTCAAGCTTCAGATTGTCCCTAGTTCATTATCAGGCAAGGACAGCACATGGAGATAAAGTCCAATGGTTCCTTGAGATGCACATGAACAGGAAGACTAAAGCAAAGGTTTGTTTATTAACAGGTCACTGGTGAAGTGTGCAGGAAACTACAAATGACCTGATATCACTGGGTATACTCAATGTAAAGTCATCATCCACTAGGCGACCTAGGCAGGAGCCTGGAGCCCCGTATATGTCCAGGCCCAATTACTCATGCTCCTTCACCTGCTTGTAACTTTTCAAGGGAGGATGGACGTGTAGGCAGTTGGTTTCTGATGGGGCCATGCCGGTACAGACAATGCAAAGGGGGCAGCCTCTGTGTGCCCACTGCAATCTTTCCCAAAGTAATTCAAAGGAATGGGGGGGACCAAAGCTGTTACTTTGCCTAGGGCACTATTATTATTATTATACAGGATTTATACAGCTTGCGCAGCACTTTACAATATAAGGAAGACATTACAATCACCATACAATTCAAGACAAGATGGTATTCTGTCTTAGGCTGAGTTCACAACCAGGCGACAGCGTTTTTGCTCGTTTATACGCATAAATCAAATTTGCGCGTTTTGTGAGCAGATTGAAGCTCATTGATGTTAATGAGCAAACGTGCCTAAAACGCGTGTAAAAACACACAAACGCACGATTTCAAGCATTTCCCATTCCGTCTATGGGGCAAAAACGAGCTGTACTATGCAAAAAAAAGCTCCTGTACTTTTTCCAGCGACAGTCATTTTGCTTATTGCGACAAAACGTTCAGATGTACACAGGGCCAGAGAAATTAATGGGATTTTTTTGGCCATATTTTTGAGCATTTTTTAGGGCAGAAAAAGCACTACAAACCGCTCCGTATGAACCAGGACTAAATCAGTCTTTGCCTACCAGGGTCAGATACAGGTGAATTTTCCCCAAGAAACAGATGTTTGAACTCTCTTTTGTTCTAAAAAAAAGAAATTTTGTTCAGTCGGATTTCTAATCCACACAGCCCTGGCAGACTACTGTACATAGCCAGGTCCTGATCCTTTACTGGTCTCCATTGCAGTAACAGCAACACAGTTTGTTCAATTCTGTGATTGGATACTGAAAGAGGAGCGGCTCACTAATGAGGTTTATACTCCATTCAGCAAGCTCCATTTGTTAGACCTACTTAGAGTGTGTTTCCACTTTTGCAGGCAAATTGGGATTGTACCTTTTTTATATTTTTTACATGTTCACGTTCACATTGCTCAACTTTAAATTATTTTTGTTAGAGGTGCACCGAACATTTCAAAACCCTAACTAAACCTTAACTAAAATATTTTTATTTTTTACTTTACTTTTAGGGGCTTCGGGGAAATATTGGGGATCTAAACAGGCCCCTGATTTTTCACTTTTAAAATAGAAAAAGAGATTGAGGACACAGAGTCCTCAATCTCTTTTTCTGCAGCCCCTGTTCTAAATTAACAGGAATCCTCTATACTGAGTATTCCTGTTCGTTCATAACTTGAGCACATAGTGTGCTTACTATATCCTCAATCATGAATGAACAGGAGGTGATGTATATCACTTTCCATTCATAATTGAGGATACAGTAAACATACAACGTCCTCAATTATTTACAAACACTCAGCGATCACTGATCACTGACTGCTTGTAACTGCCGCTCTCCATCCTGGTTCGGAGGTGCTGGTGACAGCTGACTCCTCCCCCGCACCGCAAGCCGGTCTCCTGTGACAGCTTTGAGAGCTGTCTCCGCTCCCCACACTGCCGCTCTCTTGATCTGTCACAGAAGGCTGAGCGGTGCCGTGCACAGCGCTCTCCTCTTGCAGTGCTTAGTAGACATGTGCACCAGCAAAAAATTTGTTTCGTTTCGTTTTGATTCCGAATTTGCATTATTTAGTTTTTCAGATTCGGGTCCGAAATTTAATTCGTCTGGGGATTCGGACGAAATTCATTAGTGGTAGTCCGGTCGAAAGTTCGTTTCGTTCGTTTTGGCAGCAAAGTGACATTTGAGGGGGGGAAAAACTTTTTTTTTTTTTATAGTCTGCAGAAAATGGAAATGCCTGAATGGCATTCGGAAACTCACATATAGCATTGTGGAGTTCCTGAATGCTATGTAGCATACGAGCAGGAATGTCATTTTGCAGGGGGTTTTCGTCAGGTTTGGATGGTCATTCACAGGGGGCGGTGGCATCTGGGTGCCCCCTTATTTAAAGGGGTACCCCGATGCAAATAAGCCCCCTTGCCCACAGACCCCCACAACCACCGGGTCAGGGTTGTGTGGAAGAGGCCCTTGTACCCATCGGCACCCTCCCAATGCTGAGGGCACGTGGCCTGGTAAGGCGCAAGGAGGGGGGCACTCGATCATCCCCCCCCTTTCCTGCCCTGCTGGGCCAGTGCTCGCATCAAGGGTCTGGTAGGAATGTTAGGGGGAACCCCACGTTTTTTTCCCCATTTTGTGGGGCTGGGGTTTCCCCTTAACATTCCTATCAGACCTTAAGGGTCTGGTAGAGATTTTGGGGGGAACCCCACGCACTTTTTTTTGTTTTAACTTGGGGGAGGGTCCCTCCTAACATTCCTACCAGACCTGAAGGGTCTGGTATGAATTGGGGGGAACCTCACGCTTTTTTTTTTTACCTTCTGCAGACTGTAAAAAAAAAAAAATTTCTGTCACTTATCTGCAACGAAATTTCGTCCAATAAACGACTAGCGCTAACGAATTTCGGGAAATCGGGAATTCGGAATCGTTTGCATTCGTTCTAGCATCCGAATTTCTGAATTTCTGAAATGTCGTCCGAATTTCATTTCGGAAACAAAACGAATCGCACATGTCTAGTGCTCAGCCTCTTGTGATAGTTTCTCTCCTCCCCGCTGGGACACAGAGCAGCACCCAGCGGGGAGGAGAGAAAGCAGATGCACCGCTATTTCGGCCGAAAGATGGCACTTTCGGCATTTTGCTAAAAGTGCCATTTTCGACTGATACGTTTCGAAGGCTAAAATATCGGTGCATCCCTATTTTTAAAAAACATTTCTACATACATTTTTAATTGTTTTATATTTGCTTAAAATCCTGCCTAGTTTCCCCTCTATGTAATGTTGAGGAGGGGGCTGTGGGAAGTGAAATTTACCCCCAATGAACTCTTTCTGTACTGTGCTAGCAGGTTCTATTATCAGTTGTAAACTAGATTTTCAACACTGTCTGTCGTAACAAAGCTGTAAAGACTTAGAAGCATTGTATGTCAATGACTGGAAGCTCAATCTGTCCCACAGTTTATCCCTCTACTTTCAAACTGTTCAGAGTAGCTTGGAATCTGCACAAATACCTTCACCAAAGAGACATCTAAAAGTTAAGAAATATTTGTTTTTAATTATTTTTATTTGTGCTGTGTGACTGGGAACATATAACAAACATATAGTGGGGTTTTCTAAACTTTGACTGCAAAAGTGGAAAGGCTGTTCTGCCTCTGCCATATAGAAATGACAGGCTTACCTACCTGCCATATAAAAAGCAGCCACAAGATGGAGCTGAAGAGAAAATATCTCCATTTATAGCAGCTTAGACTTTTTTCCTTTAATTAAAAACTCCCAAAATCCTCTCTGTCCAAAGAGAAGGAAATAAGAGCATTTTGGGCGTCCAGCCTCCATTTAAAGACTTAGAAGAGAATCCACTGCCATCAGCAGTGTCTGGAGGAAAGAGCCAAAATTCCCTTTAGGCAGCATCGTTGGTATGGATGGACTTATTTCTCTGTATATTTGTGAGCTGATATCATATTTACATGTTTGACATGTTGATTGGTATGTTTCTATGTTCTTTCACCAGTTTCATCCACCCTGTTTTGTTAATAAAGATGCCACTCAGTCTGGCTTATTGCAGAATAGGCGGGTTTAGCTGCATGTCGACCTATACACAGGCCACAGGCCAACGTGTGGTGGGGACAGAACAGAGACTGTTCACTCAGGAAGGAGTATATCCACTTAGTTTAATGAATATGTTGATGTTGTGTTCACGTCAATCATTAAATATAAATATCTCACAGCAAGCCTGTATAAAACTTTAAGCTCCCATTCACACCTGAGCGTTTTGTCATGCATTTCCCAAAGCTCGACAATGCTCATGAAGGATCCCATTACTTTCAATGGTGCCCGTTCACACCTGAGTTTTGTGTTGCTTGAAGCTCAAAAAAAGTACACGAGCTTTGACTGAATATTCACATTCTTGCCTAAGCCAACCATGACTGGTTCTCTTTATGTAAATGAAGTGGACATTCTTACTATGACGATACGCCTGTCCCGGAGTCACGGGGACCCCTGCCCGGACCACTGCAGAACATCTTCTCAGGGCAGATGCCAACATAGTCCGTCACCTGACACGATAAGACACAAGGACAGTTAAACAGCAGCTCAATGTACTTCTGTGTATTCCAACACACCGTCAGCTTTAACAAGTCATCTATTGGCACGTACAAAGTTGCACAACACACTCTCCTTAATTTCCTGTTTGTAACTAAGCTTGATGTACAGAGGATGCTGAAAATGTTCTGAAGGGGAGGAGCATCCTAGAAATTGTCTAGCAGACTTCATATGCAGGTATGAACAGATTTCCTAAAGTTCTTCCACATCTGGCATCTATTAAAAATATTATAAACGCAGGAAATTTTTTCGACTTCCTGATCATTCAGCTGCTTTCCACAAAGTGGACAAAAAAAATAAAAATTCATTCAGGTGTGAGTGTACTATAAGGGCTTGTTCACACCATCTTCTGGTCCAGATCTGGAGCAGATCTGCAGATGCTGTGCAATGCGTGCAGCGCGTTTTACCGCATTTCAGTTTTTTTGGGGGGGAGGGGGCTGTCAGTATGCAGATTCTTGCTCTGAGGTCACTTCCGGCCTTCATCAAAAGTGGAGCAAGAATACACTCTTTTTTTTTTTCCAGTTAGCTTCAGTGCGTTTACGGCGCGTTTTTGATGCGTTCGTGCGCGTTCCGGACCATAGAAAATGTGACATGCAGTATTTTTTCTGACCGGAACGGAAAGCACTGCGCTCGTGTGAACTGGAGCCCATAAAATACATAGGGATACATTGTGATGCATTATTAGTGCAGGAGCGAACTGTTCTGGTCTGGACAGAATCTAGACATTGTGTGAACAAGCCCCAAAGGGCAACTATATATTATTATTATACAGGGTTTTTATAGTGCCAACAGTCACAAGTGACGAGAGAGCATGGAGCCGGCTTCCCGGCCAATCAGGAAGCCGGGCAGTGTGTAATGACGTGGTGCCCGGCTTCCTGATTGGTCAGAAGCTGGCCAATCAGGAAGCCGAGCACCGTATAATGACGCAGCGCTCGGCTTTCTGATTGGTCGTGAAGCTGGCTTCATGCTTCGTCGTCACCTCATGAGAAGCATGGGGACGGCTTCCCTGCTAATCTGGAAGCCGGGTGGCGAGTCTTTACACGCTGCGCGGCTTCCCGGCTAATCAGGAAGCCAGGTGGTGAGTCATTACACGCCACCAGGCTTCCTGAATGGGACTTCCGGTACTCTGTATTCGGTATCGGCGAGTACCGAAAAAAATAAATATTGGTACTCGTTCCCAAAATACTGGTATTGGTGCATTACTACTTTACAATATAAGGAAGACAGTACAGATACAATACAAATCAACACATGATGGTATATAGATAGAAAGGTATTGATATATACTGTGTGTATATATATATTATACCGTATTTTGCGCTCCATAACACGCACCTGACCATAACACGCACCTAGGGAGGGTAGGGTTCTATGTAGTTCCTTACAGCTAAGACAGGTAGCGCTGTGATTATAGCGCCACGGTCTCAGTGATCACACAGGGCAGATGAAGAACGGACACTCTATGGGCTCTATGGTGAGCTCCTATGCCGTGGTCACGGGTCCCCCAGAGGAGCGGGGGACCCCGAAAACCGCGGCGTGGGGGCCGGACAGGATCGCCGCTGCTCCTTTGATACAAGTGATCTAATCAGATCACTTGTATGAAAACAAGCGGCGGCTCCACACTATAGATTTAGCTCTGCTTGTCCGGAGCAGGGCTAAATGTACAAAAAAACTACTCGCCCGGCACCCGAAACTGCATGTCCCGGGCGTCGGACGATAGGGATTCCACACCCCTGGGTACATAGTTACATAGTTACATAGTATTTGAGGTTGAATAAAGACATTAGTCCATCAAGTCCAACCTATTAGGATCTCATTCTAGGAGTACCCGTACCCCTGTATATTACGGTCCCTTAAGAAATCGTCCAAAAGTTTCTTGAACAATTCCACATTATTTGCTGAAATCACCGCCTGTGGCAGTGAGTTCCAGACCCTAACTGATCTTACTGTGAAGAACCCCCTTCGCCCCTTGTGCTGAAATTTTTTTTCCATCAATTTTAGGTGATGGCCTCTAGTTTTTGTAACGGAGTTAATTTTAAACAGTTTATCGCTAATGTTGCTACCACCATTAAACATTTTGTACATGGAAATCATATCCCCCCTTAATCTCCTCACCTCTAATGTGAACATGTTTAAATTTAGTA